GAAACATGACTGACGCTGGCTTGAGTTGTCATGACGATTTTTCGGAGGACTTCACCATGGCGACCAAGTGCTGAGACTTTTAGCCAAGTGTAATGGAATATTTCCCAAATAAGCAACTGGCATACATTTATTTCCTGACCCACTTTTTCTAGAAAGAAAACAGAAAATAGTTCATGCAGCTGTGTCGCTAATATTTCCCATAAACCCCAGGTTAAAATCCTTTCTAATGAATATGAATTAAAGGCTTTGGTCGTCCCACTCACTTCCTGGATGTGGAGACCCTACATCTTATTCTAAGCCTGACTAGATCCCACTTTACTGCGGGGCTAACATAAGTATATACCTGCGAGGATCCAAGACAAACAACTTTGGTCACAGGGCAGGGGATAATTTTAACAGCAGAGAGTGTGTTAGTTCTTCAGGTGAGGAGTGTGAGCTGTGAATTACAAAAGAAAGTGTCAGCAAATTTATTCTACAGGAGTTTAAAAAATCCCTGACTAGCTTTCTGCTCGGTTCCATCGTGAACACAAGTGTCAAAGGTCATTCTCCTACTCATCCTTCTTCCGTCACTTGGTTATACAGTCTGTAGGGAGGGTTCCAGTCTTTCTGGTAAACCTCTGTAGGAGACTTTCCCAAATCTCAGAAATGATCCCTGCACAGTTTTACCACGATGACCGCTCTGATCACCGGTGTCTGGAGCCAGGAGGCGCTGTGTTAATTCTGCTCACGTGAATTGTGTGTCACTCCAGTATCAGTTTCACTGTCGAGCGGCCGCTGTGACAGAAGCGCGGCACATTTTCACACTGTGGTGACAAGAAAGACGCAAGTGTTCAGCTGTGGGCTGAGAGGTCACTGAGCAGTTGACCATTTCGTCCATGACCACAAGGCTCTGCGGCACAAAGAACCATAGTCTCCCACATACGCTGGACTCGATCAGACGTCAGCCAATCACACACAACAAAGCTCTGACATCATGGCCGATATGACAGCTAAGCAGGAACAGCTGTCTACTAGTTGTAGACCACACTACAGGAGAGTGACGCAACGGCGAAGTGTGTGTGTGTGTGTAAGAGAGTGAGAGCTCAGCACAGCAGTGGACAGGCAACATTGGTGTGGTCAGTGTGGGAGAGATGAATCACGGGGTCAAACACTGAAGATACATTCCAGTGAAGTAGAAGAGGAAGAGAGAGTTCAGAGAAAGTGAGCTTTTAGACGTCAGACACAGAAGGGGAAACAGCCAGCGATCAGTGGGAGACAGTTCAGACCTCACTGATTAACACATCCGCCATTTCGTCACTAATCTTTTGTTTTTGTATTGCAGAAGTATTGTGACCCGTGCAGGGAGTTGAAGCCCCGCTCAAGTGGACATGTGTTTCCATGCTGTGCTGTGCTACGTGTTCATGTTGCGTACATACAGTTTTGTGTGAATGGTCTTCTCTACAGAGGGGAAGGATGGGAATTCTGCCCAGACATTCCATGGCACAGCTTCCCAAAGACTTTCCACTACTACTGAGACACACACATGCAGCCTCTAAGGACAGATTCCAAACTGGTGTTCTATGGGGAGGAGAAGACCAGGGACGGCACAGATAAGTCACTGGTATGTTAGTATCACGGAGGGAGGCAGATAATCCCACCATCAGGCCTGTAGTTTCGCCTGGTCAGTTCTTGTTACTAAACAACAGAACAAATAGTGAAATAGTTAAAGACACATGGAGTTTGATGAGCGGGGGAACATTAGCAAACGTGGTAAAATAAGATAAACAAACACAACCAGCTTGTCAATTTACAGTTTCTACATGACCTTATAATCAGTAGCACATATTGGCTCTTTTTTCTGATACGTATATCAATACTGATATGTGATTTCATTAATATGTATATTCATAACATGTTAGTCATAACAAATTAACACAAACAGACTCAATACTGAATTCTTCCTCAAGTAGTAGGAATACCTACTCCTACCTACATACCTAATACCCAATCTGCTGGTTGTGAGACAGTAACAGAAACAAACACTGTAACCTAAAGTGACATGATGGTGTCGCTCACAGTAGAGCCCACTCCAAAGGCCAAGGGACAACTCTGGAAGTTTGGTTTTCCCAAAGATGGGACTAAGACCAAGTTTCCCTGTCTCATTTGGCCTGAGTATTCCTTACAGTGCCACGGCATAACAGTTCCTCTTCTTCATCCAACCATCAAAGCCCCATCCGCTCCTCAAACCCCCGGCTCCACACTGCACAGTGGGACAAAGTAGCATTTCCACAGCCGCGGCCAGGAGAGCCTTCAAGGTGTCATGGGGACACACGCACACTCACAATACAATCATAAAAGTACAGCTACACAACCTTTCCACACACACACAGAATTTTTTTATGAGCCAAGTACTGTATTATGCAAGTCCCAGGAACCCCTCATATAAAGACCAGATATGTTCACGGAGCAAAGGAATATCTTAACTATGGAAACAACATCTTTGACAGTCACTCTATCCCTGCACACACACAAATACAATGGTTCTGTTCATACACTACCATGGACTGCATATAAGAAATGGACCTCTCTAACCAGGTACCACAGCAGACTACTGGTTAATAAAGGAGCTAACTGTTTGTTCTGCCATATGTGGCCCCTGAACCTCTTCTGCAGCGCCCCCTTTTGTAAATAGGACTATTGTAGAGCATGGACAAATCATGCTATTTGTATTGAATAAAGGTCATTAGGTCACAAGTCAGTGCAGTTTCTCTACTTATTGCCCCTGTGGAGGATCACCCCTGTGTTCGGGAAACCCATGAAGTTCGCACCGCTCAGCCAGTCACATATCCCACACATACTGCACATAGATGGCGGTTGGTTTGAGTCAATGTTTTGAAAAAGGGATGTTGAATATTTAAAATAAAAATTGCCATGTTCTATAATATATTTTACACTGTTTATTGATTTGATTTTCTAGAAGAACTGAGGATTCCCAGACCAGTCACATATCCCACACATACTACACTGAGGAGTTTATTGATTATTTTCTAGAAGAACTGAGGATTCCCAGAGGTTTTTCAGATTGGACCTCGGTGAATTCTAATTGAATACTGCAGCTCGTGTGAACTGTTCACGTCATGGACCTTTGTGTCTTTTCTTATCCCGTATATATGTGGATGAGGAACAATAATAGCATCTGTCTTTTGGAAGAAAACCTGAAATAACATGCAAACAGAGACAGATATAGACTTCTGCTTTGCATGCCGCTGAAATGTTAGCTGAACGTTCACATGTGGGATTTGAATGGAAGAGCCCGTGCTGATAACTTTGGAGATAAACTGACACCTTTCTGTGACGTCATTACCAGCGAGGTGTACAAATATTTTAAAAATATCAGGCAACAAAGGAAACATGCAAAGAAAGAGTGGATGTCACACACTGAGCCACACAAGAGACCTGTGTTTGTGTCAACATGGCATCCCCTCGCCTGCTCACAGTGGAAAGTGGATCGTTCTGGGTTTCCACAGTGGAAGCTTGTTCCTGTATATAAGTTGCAGTGGAAGTTCCTCTCTCATGGAGCAAAAGAACCCAAGGGGAGAGTGAGGAGAGGGGAAAGAGAGAACAGGGGAAGGAGTGAGTGATGGCAAGAGAGAGGAAACTGTATTCAGACTTAGCACATAACGAGGAGGAGAAGGTGACAGAGACGGTGACTTCAGTGACGTAGAAGATTACATAGGAAATGAGTATGTATGAGGTGTTCTGGACACTGGACCTGTGGTCCTTCTGGGGTCATGACCTGGCGTTGACCTCAAACTTCACAAAGCTGTATTTTTACTTTACTTTTACTTACTTTTTTCTTTTTTTGTTTTAATGATCAGAAAACTATTCTTACTGTTGTTAGAAATCTACCACCTGGCAGACCAGACTGGTGGAGCCAGACCAAGAACGCTGTACTTTATGGTGGCTCCTTAGGTAAAACAGATTAGTTTGTCATGTTCAAACCCAGGCGCACTTTGTACCCCTGCAGACCAAGGAAACCTACGACAGGAACAGGCATGTGGTCATGTGAACCCAGATCAAAACCAAGAACTGCACTTTCAACGTCACTATGGCATGACAGAACCTTTGGTGTTATGCAATATCTTACTATTGTGACCCACCAACAAAGTGTACCAGCGTAGTTGGCCACTACTCCACTGGTGCGTACCACAAAAATGTGTTTGTTGTCTTTCTCAATAAACAAAAAGCTGCAAATCAACTTGTGATCATTTACGCAGATGCCCTGTGTAGTGGCCCAGAAGACACAACTTGAAAGCGATAGTGAATACAAACCATCTATTGAGTAAGTGTAAAGAGAAGAGCAGCACAGACAAAGTGTGTTTCCCAAAGATGCGAGTGAAACAAACGTTACACAACAAGTTGTGTCCACTGAAAAAAAAAAGTAAAATACTATATTTAATAAGCATATTTAATGTGCTTGTCACACACGTCCTCTGGTTATTAAAAATCATAATTTTGTCTTTGACATCTAGCTGCAGGCCGGCTGTAATGGTTTCTAGGGCCTAAAGTGGGCCCCAGGCCAGGAGTTTCAGTCCACTGACCTAAATGGTTAATATGTGAATTATTGTGAGTATTTATTTCCTGTGGCCAGAGTGTAAATAAAGTTCCATAGTAACTGTGTAGTTTTATAAATGCTCTGTAATTGAATGTGGTTTTCAGAGCACCGCAGAGTAAAGTGAAACAAATACGTTTGAATGAATTTATGTCACAAACACACAACTTTCCAAAGATGACACAGGATCACTGACCAGCTGTGACGAAACCTCCTTCTGACAGCATTAGTTACAGCAGGTTAACCACATCCTGTAAATGAGAAGATTTTTCAGCCTCAAGGCGGGAGGAGGAGGAGGAGGGTGAAGTGGAGTAGAAGGAGAGACGGAGGAAAGACAGAGGAGAAACAGCCAGAGCAGAACAGGAGGAGTAAGAGGAGCAGGAGGTCTGCAGGCAAACGTTCATATTACCTTACAGATGAGACACAGGCTGGTGTGAAGTCAGCAGCTGGCCGTTGTTTTCACATATTCTTTGGACACAAAACACATTTTTGGTATGAGAACAGGTTTCAAATTAATTTAGTTATTTTAGTAATTAATAAGTGAGTCATTAATTAGACACTACAGTTTCAAATTAATTTTAAATAAGTGAGTCATTAATTAGACACTACTTAACATGAATATTTATACCTTTATTTTAATACATTTAAGTTACTTTGAAATAAACGATTATGGGCAGAAACACCATCATTAATGGCAGAGCAAAAATTATGGTCCGAGGCAAAATTAGAATTCTAGTTTAGACATTAGAAAGGAAACGTCTAAACTAGACATTGGGAGGAGGGTCCCCCGTCCCCCGTCCCCCTTCCTCCCATGACCCTTCAAAGTGTTGAGTATCAACAAATGGCATTTTTGTATTTGCAGAAATTCAAAAATTGTTATGGAATTCCATTCAAGTATTTTACGTCAGCATTAAGATATGTCGACTTTTTTGGGAAATGCACTCCCACACAACAAGTCAGCACTGCTAGTCAAAGGGAGCGGCCCGTATAATACTTGCTTTACAGGTATGCAGCTGATAGAGCAGAAGGAGGGAAGAGTGCTCCTCTTCTTTTAGCCAAGAAAAAAAATATTTCAGGATTCTTTGGGAGTGCCTTTGAGTGCACACCAAACACTTCTGGGAAAATCACAATGACACCTATGGTTTCACAAACTTACTGCCAGTTAGCGCCCACGCAGCCGCGATGGCACGCAATGATGCATGGGCATTTGATTCCCATACCCAGGTAATTGTTGAGCATCAAACTTCTATCATGAGAAGGAGAAGTAGTTCTTAATGTCAAAGTTGAACTGCTGTGAGTCACCAGACTTGAACTTTTTACAACTAAAGGTCAAGTCCAAGGCGACGCCATATGAAAAGAAGATGGTAATCTCTCATAACCCAACAGATATGTGTCATTGTGTTGCACCATAACCTTTGGTTTAAAATGTGACAATGTAAAAGTCATTCAGGTTGGCAGAGCGTTGCCCAACCAAAACAGAATTAAAGTTGTCCAAAAGTGGCTGAAAGATTATTCATAAATGTGGCAAGAACCGTAAAAGAAAAAATGTTACATTAGCAAAGAACCTGGCTAAATTGATCAAAAAGGCAATTTAATAAAAACATAAATAAATAGTGGACAATCCCAATAAAACTAATTAAGTATTAGGTGTTGAATTATTACTACAAATAAGCCAAAGACAGGAAATAAAGAAAAATATAAATGAAGTTTTTACTTAAAAACAGCTAAGTTAGCACTAAACTTAGCAAATATAACCAAACAGCTAACAGAAAGGGAGCCATAAAGCAGGTAATATTTAAAAATGTAGTTTAAACAAAAGCAAAAAGTTAACCGAATTACTTTTTTAATTAATTAAAAATAACACTTTTGATTTTGCTAAAAAAAATAGTAAAAAAAACAAAAAACAAGATGACAAAAGATAAACAGAAAGAACTAAACCATAGCTAAAAATGGCTAAAATTGCTTTTTGGCTTTAAGGTAATTATAAAAAATCCAGACTATATGATTGTAAAAGTTAAAGAATAAATAATGCATTTTTATAAAACCTAAGTTTTATTTTTGCACTCTCAATGCTGATACCTACAAATCCCCCTGGGGCAGAGCTGTAAATGAATCATCCCTGATTCATAAATCAGTGTTTACATGAGACAACATTATGACATAACATTAGACAATGTATTTAATACCATCTACACACAGTATACAAATGTCAAGGATTAACTGGATTTTGGCAAACCATAACACACGTTGAGTCATCTTGTAAAAAGTACTATAAACTGCACAGTGCACTGCAAGCATAGACGTGCAAACTCATACACATGTGAGCTCACAGCCACAGGCAAAACATGAATGAACAAGTTCCTCCCTCTCAGCCATTAGTCGTTAGCGCTCCTAAAGTCAAGGTCCACATACCATAGGATCATAGTGTATTAAAGCCTGTTAGCAGTCCACTCACCACCTGCCTTTGCCTTTATTTGTATTGAATTTATATGTTACTGTTAGCAGTGTACTGGATAAATGAACACAATATATCGCATACAATCGCAATAATCATTTACATTTGTATTTTAAAATGGGCCAACTACAGAGAGTTCAAACACAGCCATTTAAACATTTTATATTACATATTTATGCCATATATTTAGACTAAATGTTTACTATTTGAGACAAACTCAAGGCTCGCGGGACAGATCCAGCCCACCACATCATGTTTTAGGCAGTAGAGCTTATCTTAAAATAAAAGTCTACAATTATGTTTTAGGCAGTATTATCTTATCTTAGCTTATCTTAAAATAAAAGTCTACAATCTGTTACTGTCTACACTAACGTTCACTGGATGGGTTGAGTGCAGTGGTCAAATTCCATGTGTGTATAACATGTGCATGCATGAGTAATTCAGTTTGTAAATGTTCCATTTATCATAGATTTCCTAGAATGCATAAAGACTGGATGACTTGACTCCATGATGACCTGCAACTTAAAATGAGTTATGAACCTCAGCCTTCTGAGCGATTGAGTTTTACACCACTGGTCTAGATTGAAAAATAAATACATAGAAAGGCAATTGGTATCTTTCATCCTAACTCACTTCATGATTCCATCATTAGCAGACCTGTTTTAATGACTTCCACAAGAGCTATGCAGCTCTACTGTACGTCATATTCTCTCTTCAAAAATTAGACTACGCATTAAAACTTCAGGCTTGAGGAATTTTCTAATTATGACTAAATCTTACATCATCTTTCTTTTTTCGTCATTACCATCGTGGACTTTCCCTTTTTGGGAGTGGCGGACTGATACAGTGTTAGGTAAACTTGTCATTAACAGGTGCGCGTAATCTGACGAGCCCAGGATTAGTAAAGCTAAAGGACGCCTGGCATCTCTAAAGCATCTGTTCACATTATATAGAAATTCAAACATATCAGAATTCATTTGCAGGACAACCATAAAACTTCCAAATGATGGTGGGGTACCTGAAAAGCCCTTGGTGACCCTAGTTTATTTGGTGGGTTATTTATCAGAATAGAACACCTACTTTTAGTTCTGGTTTTAGTTCTGAATACTTATTTATTGTAAATATTGTTAAAAAAATGTCTATGGCAAAATGTTTTCTTTTTTTTTTTCGCTTTAAAATGAATTGACAAGATTAGACGAAAAGTAACCCTAAATAAAAACGCTTTTCGTTTTAGCGGAACTACTGTAGAGTAGAGACTAAGACGCTGACTCAGTTTGTTACTTTATTCAAAAAAAAAAAAACCTGAAGTACAATACCAAGCTGTCACACCAGTGCCTGGGCTGAGCCTGTGAAAGAAGACAATCATCAGGCATTATACCAGCAGGCACCAGAACGAGTGACGTACACGTGACTCATCAGATAGTTTAAATTTACACACATTTTAGGCAGCAGAAATTCCCAGCCTTTAAAAATAAGTTGTGTTTTACATTAGGCTTATTTATAGACGTCAGGCAAATATTTGGTTCCTCCTCTTTTCCATGCAGCACTCACCACCATGTGTTTTCAAGTGGACTCTCAGACGACAGCGTAGCTGTTAATGTCTTAAATCTGGATCAAAACGCCGTGTTAGGGACTTATCTTTAAACAACTGCCCACGGTGTGGTGACTCATACGCCCACTCTGCACTTATTTCAACACACTTCCTTTGGAATTACACCCACGCACAAACTTCATTTACATTTGATAGTTACATGTTAACATGGCATCAGCAGTAATGTTGTAGTGGCTGTCGTTGCCAACTTGACAGGTCAACGCTACGACTCCAGAGCTGCCAATTCTTCACCAACATTCATGCCTAAAATTAAAAGTAAAAAATTTGGCATCCATAATGGTTTGTCACTTTAAAGTACATTTTGCTAACTAGACAAAAAAATTCACTGTAAAAGATTTAAAAAGTAGAAATTATGCGACTTGTACAGAGATATAAGTGACTGAAGGCGAGAAAGACGTGAGAGAACCACAATCACAGCACCTTTAAATCAGTCACAGAACCACAATCACAATCACAGCACCTTTAAATCAGTCAAGTCTGAATGACTAAAAACAGAGATGCATTATAAACCACAATTAACTCTGTGTTTAACATTTAAACTTATTACCCATGCAGTACATGATGCACTTATTAGTTTTAGTGGTTGAGCAGAGCCACAAGAGATTCCCAGTGGCTGCAGACTGTGAATCCAACATGCTGGATCCTGTCTGTCTCACACCTTCTAACAAAAAAAACAGCTTAAAGTGTGTGTTTCTTTGATGAGTCCATCATAAAACACACTTTGCCAAATAAATAGAAAATTTAACTTTAAAAAGCCAAGCATAAAATGTGGTAAAATAATATCGCCAAGAACATCAGGTTAAGACAGACCATTTCACGTCACGAAATTTACCCATATGCCTTATGTCTGTATCTCACTTTGTTACTTACTGCAAAAAAGTTTTGTAAACGCAGCAACAACTGCACAACAACAGCAGTATAGCAGAAAAAGACACCTGTTCGCCTGGTCACACGGCCACATTTACACCAGTGTGGTGATAAAGCCGACCAACAGGGGGCAACTACCGACTTATAGCCACGAGTTTATGTGCACTACATTGGTCTCCATCTGTCCACACGTAAATAAATAAGTGTAAAAATGCATTATGTTAGCATTATCTAACAGCCGCTGCTAGCTCGGCGATATTACAGTGTACCTCCTGTCCTGGGCTTCATGCTAACACTTCCATATACTCCTCTCTCTTGTCTTTGGGCACTGGTGTGATAAGGCAGCGATGGCTTGTATTACTGCACTTGGGTTCTCCCATGAGGGAATCCCCCACTGTGTGTTTGTGTGTGAGTGTGTGTGCGCGTGCGTTTGTCCCCGCAGAAACGAAAGAATGCCACCATTGAGGGCCGCGCTATTGCGCCAACGATCCTCTCCCCCGCGTGCCCTCCCCTCCACATCCTCCTGCACTCTGACGTACAGTTGGAGCAGATTCGGTGACACGGTGATAAAAGCCTTTCTCTGTTTCTCTCATTCTCTTCTTTCCTCTTTCTCCAGTGTCACCAGAGCACTGAGTGCTGGTGCTTTGGCCACAGACATAGAGAGCTCATTCAAAGTGACACAATCACTTTTCACTTCTGCTTTGCGATAAAACAGAGTTCAGAGTGTCTCGGCCCAGTGTGAACACCATTCACGCAGCAGCTTTGTACATGAGGACTGAAGATGCTGCACCGCCGTCCTGCTAGCGGCGGCTGTGAGAGAGAGCACCCTTCAAACGCTTTACACACAAAGACAGAACTTCCACTCTCATAAATCTGACAACGCTGACGGGCCTGCGGAGGTTGAGCAGCTCAAATGACACTTAACCTGTCAGTGTAATTCATCAGAGCTGGTTAATTAGTATTTAATCAAAGACGCAAAAACATCTTCACGACCAAATTATTGGTCGTGATTAACGACTGTTAATTATTTTTTAAACAACATCTGGCAAAAACTTAGACCAATATTTGCTTTCAATTACTCCAAGGTGTTTCCCTGTCAGGCATCATGTTCACAGTGTGAGCAAGAAAAAAAAATCAACCTGCAGTTACAAAACAAATATAATCTTCCACCGAATGGCGTAATACAGATATAAAGTGTAAATAAATACCTTTTTGAAAGGAGGGTGTATACGTTTGAGCAAATGAAGGATTGTGTTTCTCAGGTGTTGCCTGCTTCTTTGCAAAATATGTGAAGAAATATGGCCTGTCCAATTAAGGCGTGGATGGGCGTTGGACAGGCCTATTTCTCATGGGTGTTGATGACGTAGAGAGAAAACAGAACTTTTAAATGCTGAGCTCTGGATCAGGACTCGTCTTTCAGCCAATAGGTAAGTGGTTCAATGCCAGGCTCTGCTGATCTACATGTCAGAGAGTTTGGATGAAGCCTTTTCTCACTGTGGGCAATATTAAGCTAACAGTCTACAGATGAACTGAAGGGTTCCAGATGTATTTACCAGAATTTGTGCTAGATCTTTGTAAGACGTCTAGTTTTCAAAAGTCAACTTTAAGATAATCAGATTAGTTTTTTTAAATTTTTTACTCTTTTTGGTCTGTCTATATTTTATTTGTATATTTTTTTGTATATATTTTAATTTCAAAACAAATTTAACAATTGTTAAATCCCTGTATACCACACCAAGAATTTCAAAACAAATTCAAAATTCTTTGTTAAATCCCTGTATACCACACCAAGATGTCTTGTCTGTCCTGTCCAGAGTATACATGTACTATATGTACGGCCTTGTTTTCAGACACTTATTTGAAGTCTCTCGTAAACGTGTGTATAGGTATACAAGTATGATTTCATATTTTCTTCCTAGACCTGTACCTGGAAGCTGTCACAGTTGGAACCACCTGCCTGTGAAAAACAAAAACAAACCCTTTGCCCTGGATAAACAGCTCCAGCTGCCTCACTACCCCACAAACTGAGGAACAGAGGTCAGCAGCCTAGGGCTTGACCTGTGGTCCAGTCCCTGAATGTTGTTTTAGGGTTTTGTTTTTTGTTTTACTGTCGATAATGAGATTGTGGTTCCTTACCTTAGATCTTAGATCTTGGATAGATAGATATTATGATTGCCAGTCACCTGACACTAAGGCATGGGCACTTGACTATCCACATGCCTGGCTCTATTAAAAAGATAGTGATAGTCATAGTCATAATCTCTTACCACTTTGTACGTCTGGCAGAATAAGCGAGGAGGTTAATCTGGATTTACACGTCACGGCAGTGAGGTCACAGAGGAAGCAGCTGATAGCCCAGCCCGCTGAAGGAGACAGGTGAAACACACAGAGGACAGGGGATGAATATCAGCGACGGGACATGAGACTTTCTGTGTTGTACATTCATAGCCAGGAGGAAAGAATTTGTCAGTTTTTAATATGAATGGAGTATTTTACGAGAGTTTACACGACATGGACAAAATGTACTTCTAACAGAGAACATTGACAACAGAGCCTCTGTTTTCTGATGTGCTGATGAGACATATTTCACAACGATATTCCAATTTTGAAAAGCACAGTCTCCTGCAAAATAATGAGCCATTATGCCCGATGACCTACATTTTTTTCTCAAACTTGTGATCTATGTTATACTCTAAGAAATAGAGGGGGTTATTCAGGGTGAGTGGTTAACGTAGTAGAGGACAAAAAGATATCAGATATTTTTTGCTTAAATGATGGGAACCATTACAAAAAAATAAATATTAATTTTCTATGATAAACTAATTTTATGCTACATTACCCATAAGTCTACAGTGTGTTAAATGTAGAACATTTGTAATATATAATAAATGTCACCTAATGTTTCTGAAGTACTCGTTAGAGAGACAGTTGACGGTTCAATTCCAGAACACCGTCTGCTTCTTGATTTTAGCATATTCACACACATTTAGGCTGCTGTTTTTTTCTTTCTACAGTTTTTTCAATAACTTATTTTCTATGTCTGCATTTTGATTATCTTATACAGCATCTTTTCCCACTATGAGCTTAAAAGCTGCTGTATTTTATGAATATTTGTCAGAAAACAAGTAGTTTTTGGACTCATTAACATCACAGGTGACAACTCAAATTCTAATGTTTCTACATTTTTCTATTGTGAATATAAATGAAAGTTTATTACTTGCCAAGGTACTTATTTTTTTAATTACATTTTTGTAGGCATGGTAAAATAATGCAAGCTTCAAGACAAATATTTTCCTCTGTATAAACGTTTGTGGAACATTCTACAATTTTCCTTGGGGGGATTATTGTTTTGTCCTTAACTGTACATTAAAACTTTATGATTTTGTAAACTGATGAAAAGTTTAACTTTTCAGTTAATAGTTAGGAGTTTACTTGTAGTTTAGTTTTAAACTTAAGCGTGTTTAATGAAATAAAATAAAGCAGTGTCCTCAAGCTCTGGCTGAGAACTGGTGTCATGTGATCAACCCTGCAGCTGATCCTGGCACTGTCATTACTGGCCAACGCTTCACAGTATCATTAGCTGGTCATATTTCAAATGTAGACACGCGGTGGACTAGAATATCGAATCTACTGGGCGTTTTGTTGAAGGATACGTTTTAAAATTGGCCGTTTTTGGTGTTGTTTTGTGCTTAAACAGGGCTTTCACTGTTCATACACACACGCACGCACACAAACAAATGTGAGGCTTTCCTTCCGTGAGTTCCTGTTTCAAGGTGTAACAGTAGAGGGATTTCCCAGGGAGGACGCGCTCTTGACACTGCGTCAAGAGCACACACTCAGCTTCGGCTCGTTCCTTCTTCTTCTTCTTCTTCTTAGCAGTTCTAAGTAGCCGTTGGAAGCTGATTCCACTCAGTTCAGTTTGCGTTAGGTTAGTGTGGGGGGAAAGAAAGCGTCGTACTTCACAAACCTGTTGCATGTGTGTGCTTTTTCGTCTCTCCACTTTTCCGGTCTTTTCCACGCGGACAGAGAAAGCTCACAACATCTGAGTGTGTGGCTTCTGTTGCTGTGACATCTCTGAGAAGGAAACAGCAGATGACTGTGAAACTATTGAAACGTGTTTACAAATGATGTGCTAATGGAGGAGCCGTGGCTTCCTTCACACCGATCCCATGCCGCTCAGGTTGCCTTTACGAATGAAAACGGGGACACGCTTTGAGGCTAAAAATACCTGTCTACGACTATATTTGGCTTGGCCGGATCATAGTCGCAACGCTAGAATAGTTGGGCTGGCGCAATGAATGGGTTCTCTACTATCTCACTCTGCCTCCGCCCGCCATCGGCTAAATTTAGAAAGCTTGCGTCAATCACGAGCCTCAGTGCGTCAAGGCTGGCCCCGCCCATTGGAGCTGGTCATTGGCCAGAATTAGGACGTTGAGTGAAAAGTAGGCGCGCTGTGATTGGCCGGTCTAAGTCATTGTTCTCAGAGGTTCCAGCTGAGCTTTTTTAATTTTTCGGTTGCTGTGCACGCTTACCTCTTTTTTTACTGACTGTCTGTACGGTGTGGAACCTTTTCTCTGCTTCCTCACTTTTCTTACGCTCCCTACTGTTACATTAAGAGTTTACATTACGGTAGGTGAGGGTTGAAGGGTAAACTATCAACTTAAACTAACACAATTCCCCGAAAAGTGATTTTAAATCACTATTGTTCTTCCTGGACACTTGTGAGTAGAAGATGTATTCTTTTGATTTAAAAGCTTTAAATCAAAACAGTAGCCATTCACTTTGTTCCTTGTGAAATTAAGACATGTCCTGCAATATAATATGTGGTCAAATATTACAAAATATCACAATAAATCCTACTTTAAAGTGGCAAAATATCCACGTGTGGGTAAAATAAAATCGTAATTTGAGCAGAGCATTTTTACTTAATGTAATTAGTACCTTATTTGACAGATAAACTTTTAAGTTATATATTGGACATGACTTTTACAGTTGTGATATAAATATGTACAAGATATTCAAAGCATAATCATTAGTCTTTTGATAGAATAATGTTTTATTTTTGGGGTCTATTTACATTGAAATTAGTGGCATAATTACATCGTTCTCTTAAAAATCAAGTTGAAAGTATTCCAGGTGCCACGCTTTCTACTTGTATTGTAAACAGATTGAAAAATGTGACAAATGTTCCCTGAAAAAGGCAAAAAAAACCCAAACATATTTCTCACATGCAGTTGTGAAAAAACAAACATGTTTCTCACATGCAGTTGTGCAGTATATCTGTCATGATGAATGTGGTTTACAATAGTAACTTTAGACTTGCCTGCTGCCAATACATATACACAGAAAATATAATAAAAAGGTTACTTCAGGTCAATGCCTTCACGAGTTCTAGAGTTCTGCATTTCAAGTTTCTCTTCGGCAGTACACTGAAACCAGGTTAACCACGATGCCCTGTCACTGTGGCCAAATAAATGGCAGTGTTTACGTAAGAAAGCCACATCTGCTAGTTGGATTATTCTGCAAAAGAAACCTAATTGAATTGGGCAACGAACCTGCCTCCCCCATAGATGTGGAATACTACAAAATAAAATGAAAATGATTAAAATGTTAAGTATTTTTTAAAATGCCAACAAACATATTGTACTTTGTTTGGAATAGACAGTACTTTAACAGTGTCAAATCTGGACGCTCCTGGTAAAAAAAAATTTTCACAAACTTTATAAAACTACATAAATTAACATTTTAGAAATGTTAGTTTATGTAGGACAATAGGCTAGCACGTAAACGATACACACCTTTAAATGATTTTTTTTTTTAAAGTGCTAACCACTTTCGGATCACTCTTCACTGCTTGCCCTGCAACCATCAAACCAACCTCTATCGGTCGCTCTCTCCCCTTCTATCTCTCTCTCTCTCTCTCTCTCTCTCTCTCTGTACAGTACCGGACACATTAGCCAAAGACACAGACAGAGGGAGGCGGGGGAATCGACTGTGAGTGACGTCACCTCTCCCATGGCGTCACATTGACGTAGCGCATACCATCCAGCTTGATGTGTAGGCAGAGCCTCATAAATGCACTATTTGACTTTCTCCGCTCAGACGGCGCGCATAAACAAACTCGCGTTACAACAGCACACTCTGCAAAGCACCACTATCAGCACTGACACACTCCGCTCACAGGAACGGACGCTGACACACTCCTCACACTCGGGAGGTTTGACTTTTTTTAAAAAACAAAACATTTTATATAGTTGTTTTTTTCTACTTTTCTTACTTTAGAAAAAAAAAAGTTATTTCCCACCGATGCATCCTGTAAGCGACATATCATTTATTACGCCGTTTTTATCGTCACGTTTATTTTTGAGCTTTTAAGCTGAATATTATTTTCCACTTCGCTTCGGCTCTTGGTGAATATTCTGGATGGAAATAGGATACTTCACAAGAGGTTATTACCACATGTAAAGACGGAACCGCTACGGCAAACCAGTAAGTAATGAATGAATGACCGCTGTTGTGTCGTGGTGCACTTGTTAGAATCGACCACGAACGGACGTTTACGCGCAGATCTGCCGGGACCTAACAGCACCTGTGCCGGCTGTCTTCAACTTTGTGTGCGTAACCTGTTGATGAGTGGACTGTTAATGTCGCATACGTATGTGTGAGTGTGCGTTTGAGGGTTCATTTAATTTGTGCTGTGTATAGAATATACTCTGCTATTGTTGTCATGGGAATTAGAAGCCGCTCACTCACCGTAGATTGATCCGGACACGGATGATGGTCTGAGTGGGTGAACTGACTAAACAGTAAATAGTCAAACCGTCTTGATTTCATACCTGAGGTGGAGTAGGAACTGACTAAACAGTAAATAGTCTTGATTTCATACCTGAGGTGGAGTAATTTTGATGACTTTATGTTGTTTTTAACTTTTGAGGAGCAGTTCAGTAGTTTTTTTAATGTCAAGCTAATAATGTGGAGGTGCTAGTTCCACACCAAACGTTAGAATTGAGCTGAGCTGGCACCTGACTGGTGGCCAACAAAGATTTCCTCCACTGATGTGCAATGTAGTGACAGTGGAGGAGGGGGATCAGGGGGGTTGGAAGTTTTTAAACGTTGTCTTTTGTTCACCATCACAAGTCAGTGTCATTTTTTTCTTCTAAAAACACACCGTAGACTAACAGTTAACCTGCTGATTTTGCACTTCTTTCCTTTTACGCGTTAGGCTTTACGCAGGCACACAGACTCTTCTGACACTTTCCCTCTCAGCTTCTGATTTACAGAACTCACATATTTCTTCTGTCTCTGCTTTATGTTCTCTCCTTTCTCCTCCTCTGTTTGCTGGAAGCTTCGCGCTGTCCGGCGTTATTGGTATCAGGGGCTACCGGGGGCTACCGGCACTCCGGGACGCGTGCTTTACAGCTCTTATGTGGTTCTCCTGGTTACCGGTGCGCGCAGGGCCAGAGCTCCGTGCACCGGTCGACTCAGCCTGGGAGGAAAGTGAAGCCCATATTTCACGTCACAGAAATATATCTAAATATATTATATATATCTTTTGTTGTTGTTTTTTATAAATATTAAAAATCATCCGTATAACTTTACGCACATAGAGGATTTCACAAAGTTTAAAAATATTTTAAAAGTTTATAAATTTGTCAGTTTATATGAAAAATGTTGGCAGTTTCTGCAAGTTCTACATGTGTGTTCTAAATGATAGGTTGATAAAGATTAGTTTATTTATATTGCATGAAAAAAATTATATATATATATATATATCACTGTGCACAGATTGCACCAACACTTTCGTTCTTTCTTTTATTCTCCATTTTGGTTTAAATTGATTGAACTCGTCATGTCCTGCCTAAAGAACAGTCAGAATTGTAGAGCTAGAACACACAGAACAAGTGTGTTCAGGTCGTGTGGTTCTTATAAATGCAGTCTGTCCTTTACAAAGGAGCAGTTTCACTTCGGTCCAAGGAGTGACTTGTAGTGAGGTGTAGGAGAGGAGGTACAATATCCCACGTTGACCGCATCCCAGAGGGTCTGTTTGTGTCTGACTGACTGTGTAGGTGTGTTTATACCCCAGTCTATGGCAAGAAGGGGGCGCTCTACGCCTTGAAATCCAAAAGACTCCGTGCGCCCTGCTGCAGTGGAGTGAGCTGAGGGCGCGCAGCGCACTGGAGTCGTGGGTGGGTTTCAGGTTCGACTCTTTAATATATCCTGCGACCTAGACTTTGAGTGTCTCTCTATCTCCAAGAATGAAGTAATCGGTCAGAGGCGGTTTCGATCAACGGGGACAAACGCGGTAGTCGAGGTTCACTGTCAGAGGGCAGCGTCCGTGACGGCTGTCACTTTTGTAGGTCTGTATTTTGTAGAAGTTGTGTTTGATTTGTGGATTTTGACGAATTCGTCCGTTGCCACAGATATCTTATAATGTGATAACGGTAGTGATGTTATTCTAGATGTGTGATAGAATGAAACCTTTCACCCACGTATACGCGAGTCTTGAAATGACTGAAACGCCTTCAGTTGTGGTTCTTTAATCATATCTTCTTGACCTTAATCCAAAAGACTTTGACTTTGACGGCTCTATTTAAATTAAACTCTCTCACTTAGGTCTGATTTATGTTGTGCTGTTCATATATTTTTTTATTTTACAGCCTTATTTTTTTTTCCTGCTCAATTTTATTCTGATTTACTGACTCAGTCTGGCAGATGTAGATATAAATTGTTTTTTGTTTTTTTTAAATAAGGGTTAAGATAATTTAATTTTTCTATGTAAGTTTTGGGTATTAAGAATATTGCCTACAATTTTTCAAATGACCAGAACATTTTAAGAAAAAAGTGACATAAAGTTGACATTTCTAATCAGATAATCAGACACTATGAGTTTTATTTCTGCAGGATCCGTTTTTCTTTTTTTTTTTTTTTTTTTTTTTTTTTTTTTCTTTTTTTGGTCATGTTTTTGGTTTGACATATATTCTTTCATCTCCAGACACAGGTTCAGAAGAGTGCGTCCAGCTGAGCTCGGAGTCCCGGCGACCGGACACTTCTTCTGCAACACTCGCCGAACCCTCCTCCTCCTCCTCCCCGATCCAGAAGCCCTGTCCCGGCAGCAGCCACGCCAGCCCTCCATCCCGGACACCCAGCACCATTCAGCGCGAAGCTCTCTCACCAGGTAGGAGTTAATAAATGAAGTAATTTTCCTTTTCTTTCTTTCTTTCTTTCTGTCTTTCTTTCTTTCTTCTTTCTTTCTTTTCTTTTATTTTCTGTGATCTTCCTCTATTTGAAATCATCAATACTTCATGTCAATGACAGAGATCTTAGAACAGTTGGGATCTTGCTTTTGTGCGTCAGCTTTGAGTTGAAATATTAAATCTGTCTGTACAAAAAGGGTTCGGAACAGATGTGACTCAGCGATATGTATCGGCCTTCTGTTTTAAAAAAATGGTAGCGTGTAAAAAAAATGCAACATGTGCGAGAATTGACAGAAGATGAGTCAGGAAATAAAAATTAAATATATATATATATAAATATATGTATTTTTGTTACTTATGTCTGCCCCTTAATGTTTTCATTTGTTAGATCTATGGCATTCTGACAATGAACAGGCGCACTCAGTTATTGGAACAGCTGCAGTTTGTCCAGTTGAAATGCACACCTCGAGGTTAGAGCTCCCTCCGCTTCACTTGATGCTGCACCAACACCTGTGTCTGGCTGCTTGGGTTGTCTGTCCTCTTGCCTCTGCACACCTCCCTCACCCCCCCCCCCCCCCCATACACGCGCACAGACACATCGGGGCACAAATAAAAAAAATACACCTGTCAGCAAACAACAACAACAACAACAACAACAACAACAACAATCCCAGGTCAAGACAAGATGCTGCTGATATTGTTTTTTATATGTAGGTTTTTAATGGGTGGAACAAAGTCATGAGGTCCTACTAACTTTATTGGGAAATGTTAGGGTGTGTGTGTGTGTGTGAGGGGGGGGGGTTTGTGTGTGTGTGTGTGTGAGAGAGAGAGAGAGAGGAACAGGTTCTGCTGTGGATGAGGGCGCATGGTATTGGCATAAAGAGCAAATGCTGGTCCGTGTTTACATGTATAGTGATGAAAGGAAGAGTTCTGTGTGTGTGTGTGTGTTCAGCTTTGATCGAAAGCTTCTTCTCTCCCCACCCGACTCACAAACATCCTAATCCTGACAGTGTGATGGAATCGCGGCTTGTAAAACGTGAAGCCTGTTTGTTTTTTGCCTCTCGTCTGTCGTCGATGACAAACTGCAGCACAAAACACACTCTGTGTGTGTGTGTGTGTGTGTTCGCGCATCAGAGAGAGACACATCCACATGTACACCAGGCAGATCACACACACACACACAGAGAGAGAGAGAGAGAGAGAGATAGTTTAACACAGCAGGTCACTCCTCTCCTTTTTCTTTTCCTGGTGTTTAATCACAATCATTTGTAAAAGTATTTAAACACGAGCTGTGGCCCGTGCAGACCCCATGGCGCCCATAATGTTGCGTGTGTGTGTGTTTTCCACGTGGGTTGAAGATCTGGTCACTCGTGGAAGAAAAGAAAAAAAAACTCAATGACGTCAAACCCACGTAGGCCTGAAGCTTGACTCACATCCTCGAATAAAAGAAAGTCAAGCAGCTCAATATTCTCCACTGAGACCAAAGTGATTCTCTCTCTCTCTCTCTCTCTTTTTTTTCTTTCTTTAATATCATCGTAGTTGTTTCTGTATCAGTTCAGCCTTTAACGCGTCTTGGTTTTTGTTCTTGTTATATTTCATGTTGGTTAGTATATTCACAAAGAATGTTGACATAAATGAGCCAGAGTGAGAGAGAGTGAGTGAAAGTGTCTTCCTTTGGCCCCTCAGACAAACGAACATCCTCGTGAAACGATGATTTAATTGAACCATAAGCGGCTACAGTCATTACTTTAGTCCGACTTCCGCTCATAAACCTTGATGCAGTTTATACGACCACAAACCAAATGTTATATAGGCTGCTATTTTTTTTTCTTTTCTTTTTTTTTTCATTAAATGTATCATTGTTGCCCAAATTAGCCGGAGTTATTTAAATCAGAACAATGTGAGGTTTAATGAAGTTTACATGACTTTTATTTTGTTGGAACCGGATTGGAGCCGCTGCAAATAAAACGTAATAGCCCTTAATTCCCAGTGGTGGGCCGGAGACAGGCCGGTTTGGATGGAGGTATTTGTGAGGGCTTTAACAACAGTAGGACCGACATGTCCCGTATTTGACTAAACAAACATGACGCGCAGGGAACAGGAGCGATTACGGGGCAGAGCGCACATGCTGCGCGTCACTGTTGACAGTTCCCCTGCTCCGAGCGACGAGCAAACATCACAAAACCCTGACTGAGCCGACGATCAGGACCGATTAGTGCCCTTCACACTCGTCACACACACTCGTCACACACACACACCTGAGCGCTAAGACCGGACACGCGCACGCAATTAAAGGTGGATTGAAGTACGTAGAGTTTGATTGAAAGTACTGATGATGATGATGATGATGATGATGATGATGATGATGATGATGATGATGATGATGATGATGATGATGATGATGATGATGATGATGATGATGATGATGATGATGATGATGATGATGATGATGATGATGATGATGATGGTGCCTCGGCTGCTTTTGGTGGTAATGAAGATGACGAAGATGATGTCTCTGCTCTGACTCCGTCACAATTAAATCAAGGGGAAAAGTCAAGACGTAAAGACTGGCGTCTGCAGCAGTTAGTGGAAATATGTGTCTGTGGATCGACATGTATCAGTGTGTGTGTGTGGATGTGTGTGTGTGTGTGTACACTGAGCCTGTATGAGAGGATATTCTGAGCCTTGAGGTTTAGTTTAGCGTTAGGATTAGTCAGATCAGAGCTGGAAACTGTTACTTTTGAGGGTTGGTTTTTTTTTTTTTTTAGGTTGAAGACTTGTAGGTCGAGTTCATTTTTAAACTAGGGTTAGGTCATGTTCTGGACGGGCCAAAAAAAAATCCTTATAAATGAGTAAATATTTAAAATATAATCTAAAAAAAAGGGCCGAGTTTGTAAATGTCTTTCTATAATTTTTTAAAAATATTTTTATCTGCTTTCTGCACCCACACAGACACAATCACAGACGCACTGGATCTCCTGATTCTGTGCAGCCTTTCTGTCTGAACTAACTTAGGAGAATTGGAAACACTTGCTCTTGCATCTGTGTGTATGTGATTTTACTGTAGTATTTCAATGCAGTACACGCAGTACACATAAATGGTTTTGTTCCTTGAACGGTGCATCCAAAATCTCTGACCAGTGAAAAACTGCCTGTTCCAATAGAGCTGTGCTGTTCGTTGTCCACTGTTTGACTGTTGCGTCTGTTGTAGTTCTTACACCTCTGTGTGCATGTGCTACAAGTAGACTCTCAATCTCTCGGATTAACTATTGGATTGTTCCTTCAGTGTGCATATTCTTCCCTCTCTGACTAATGATTGTGGCTGTACAGCTGTAGTCCACTAACAGCAAAAAAAAAAAAAGCTATTTGAAGGATGACAGTTTTTGGCATCCATGTGTTCCTCAGTGCCACGCGGCTCTAACCTCCGTGTCCTTTATCCCTTTGCTAGACATGCCCTGTGTGCAGGCTCAGTACGGGCCCGCCCCTCCAGGCTCAGCCTACTCAGGCCAGTCCTTCAGTTACCAGGGCGAGAGTTACAGCTCCGACCTCATGACTCCCGACTACACCAAGCTGGACCTGGGCGGGGGTGAAATCTCCGCCGCTGCCACCACCTCACTCCCCAGCTTCAACGTTTTCGTGGACGGAAGCTACGAGCCCAAGTCTTCTTGCCTCTATCAGATGCCCATGCACAGGCCCACCATCAAGAAGGAGGAGGACAGCTACCCCACAGCTTCACCACTGGAGACCATGTCCTCCTCCACCATGTACTTTAAACAGTCACCTCCTTCTACTCCCACTACCCCTTCTCTGCCACCACAACACGGCGCCTCCTTTCTCTGGGAGGAACACTCCCTGGCTCCCCCGTCGCATCCCCACTCTCTGGGCTCCAGCCTAGAAACAGGCCCACTCAAGTCACCCCGCTTCTCCCACTTCTACCAGCACTCGCCTCCCCACAGTGGAGGCAGCATCAGCGGTTTTGAAAGTCTGGGAGGTGGCCTGCCAAGGACCTCCTCATCATCTTCGTCCTCTTCGTCCTCAGTGTCACATCCTCATGGTCCAGCTCTGGAGCAGCCCATGTACCAGCTGCACCGCGGGGCTGCGAGCGGTAGCCTGGCCTTCCGCTCCCTGGCTCTCGGGCCCTGTGGCCCTCTTCTGGGGGACAGCCTGCCCTCACCGCCTCAACGTGGCCCTCAAGGAGAAGGCACCTGTGCCGTGTGTGGGGACAACGCCGCCTGCCAGCACTACGGTGTACGCACCTGTGAAGGCTGCAAAGGCTTCTTCAAGGTAAAAAAAAAAAAAGTTTTACTCCAAAAAGAGAGATTATTGCAATTTTACACCATTAGTTTTACTTGATTTTTAAAAATAATCTGATTTTACGCCAACCAACAAGATAATTAATCACTGTAACTGTATGTTGGAAAGCAAATTTCAACTGAACAGTTTGAGAAAAGCCATGTTGTTTTATGGCCCCTAAACCAGCCTTTGGATGACAAGGTGCCTACAGTACCTCTTGCAGTTTTGTGCTTTTGTGTCTCTCAGTCTTGTACTTTGCAGAGACACATTTAAATACGTACAATCATAAATAACTTTCCGACACTAAACGTGCAAAGGTGTAAATTGACTGGAATGTATTGATTTACGTCGGTTTTCCTTCACCTGCTGCACTGCTACTTTACATCTTCCCCTGCACTCACTAAATCATGTTTTGAGTCATCCTAAAACCAGAGCCCGACTCAAAAAGACTTGTGAAAACATTTTCATTAGTAGCGGTACTGATTTGTACCTTTGAAAATGGATACTTCGTCTTTTGTTTTTGAAAGCGGTTTTAGATGTGGCTTCATCAGGGTTCAGTCTTTTAAAATTGTGATGCAAATAACAATTTCTTCAACGTCACCACGGTTGACCTTTATTTGGGATCGGGATAAAATGTGTGCTGCATGGAGGTCAGGTTAATGACCTTTGGGGTGAAAGATGACCCTCTCAGCCAGAATTATAATATTAACGACATGTCAAACATGACAATTTTTTAAAAACTAATTTCCCTCTTTTTTTATCTTCTTGTTATGCTTTAAAAATGGCACATGCGTTATGTTTTGTACAAAATTTAATTTAATTTATTTAAATCCATTTAATTCACAAACTGTGTTGGCATTATGGCACTGGATTTTGTGGTAATCATAAAGGTTAATCAAACTACACAGGAAGACCTCGCTCCTGAGCCTCCCACACACACAGATGTTAACGAAGGCAGAGTGCTGTCTAACGTTGACGCTCCAGGACGTGACACCATGACACCGATATGAAAAAAGGAATCGTTCAAAATTTCATCTCAGCATCTTTGTTGTGACTCATTGGCCACAGAAGTGACCACAGATCTCTGACATAACACTGTGGATCATTTGGGCTGTAAAATTATTTTGTAACGGCGGTCGCAGGTGTCTCACTCTTGACTTCCTTAACAGGCAACATCTTCATCAAATTGGCGTCACTGCCAATCCACACTTTTGAATTTTAGATTATTTTCTAGTGTTATGTAAATATTTTCAGGACACTTAAGCACTCTATTGTTTGCATGAGGCCAGACAGCGACATTAAGAGAGCGCAGGAAGGAGGGCCACATTGAATGTTGCCCTTGGTTTGTGCAAATTAATTATCACTTAGTTTGAAAATGTGTTTTTTATTATTTAGTAATTCATGAAAGCAGTGTCTGGTGGTGGGAGGCTGTGGGCTGTTTGTTCTCAGTTCAGCCTGCGCTCAGCAGCCGCACAGCCTGTCAAACCTCAGCATGTTTCCTTTACACACATGCAGATGCAGCCAGGCATGCACACATTCACATGACCACACAGTCACATGCAGTAAAAAAACATGTTTATTCATACAGATATCCTCTGCGTGTTCATCCGTTTACATTGTCACACAGATTATACTGATTTATTAGGTTTCCCTAAAATTATTCTAATGGCTGTATTTAATTATTCCTGAATGGCTATTACACATTCAGCCATAACAGTGGGTTAATAAATTATTTTTTTATTTCATTACAGCCTTCTGAAACACATTTTCACTCTGAATGGAGGTTAGCTCTTAACCCAGAAGTTAATTTTTCCTGTTCATTATTTTCAGTGGAACAACGTTTTCCTCTTATTGTTCTTCACTAATTTAGTATCTGGAGTTTATTTTTTTCATTTACATTTTTTGATTTGATTTGTGAGCGTTTGGCCAAAACCAATCTTTCATTTAAATATATATTTTTAAAAGTCTTATTTAATGCACCCAGACACTACCTGTTTTAGCTCTGTGGGGTTTTTAGTCTCATCACTGGGGTCAAATCTGTTCACATACTTTTTAATGCACTCAATGAATACAGAACGTGTTATTCCACGTTGTACATGTGTGATTAAACTCATTCATAAAGTATACAGATGCAGGGTGCATTTAAATTAATAGTCTATAAATGAAGCGATAAAATCTCTTCATAGATGAAATGATTTTACACGAACCACCCATACACTCTCAGGCAGTGAGGCTGATTGCCGATGATTAAAGAAGAGAGAGGAGGGGACGGAGGAGACAGCAGGAGGAGAAAGACTGGGGAGCTAAGTCCCCGGGGGCTTTTAATTTAAGCTGAGGCCATTAGCCGTTAGCACATGTTACATGTCAGGAATCTGCCTTTGCATGCCTCTGCAGCCGCCTCATCTCACCTGCTTCACGTAGTTCCATGTTGGTGTATGAATGTGCTTTTCGTGCACGTTTACCATAAATAAAGTCGTCCCTCGGTTCTGACCCGTCTCAGTGCTTCAGAAGTCGAAGAGAGCAGAGCTGAGCTGTGATCTGTGTGTGTTCCGGAAACAGCTGTGCTTCAGGAAAAAGTTTTTGAGAAAAGAAAATTCTCACATTAATTTACAAACTTAAAAAAACAAAAACAATTATAACTACAAAAATAAAAAAAATTCAGTTTGGTCAAACTAGGGTCGAAGTAGTTTTCATGAAGGTTTTGGTGACTGAAAAGGTTCCTGTAGGAGACTGGAAGGTCAGTTTTCTCTTGGACTCTTGAAAGCCTTTTTGTGTATGTGTGTGTGCGTGTGTGTTTGTGTGAGTTTCCCCTTGCTTGTAAGGAGACAGCTCCATGATCATTATCACAGTCTAATGAGTTATTATTAGCCCTGATATGTAGCGTCTCTGTTCAGAAGCCAGTGGTCCTCGTTTGGTTCAGATAGCAAAGTCACAGGACACACACACACACACACACACACACACCGTTAACTGCGTACACACGTACGCAGAAATGAGAGGTCGGACGCAGGCATTTACCCATGAGAGCCTAATTTATCCCTAATTGATCTCCCTTCAAACTTGGGTTTAGCTTGGAACCAATTATCCTATAAATGACCATAAATTAGGGGGTGATGTCAGAGGAACGTCCTCCGTGACCAGCCACCTGGAGCTTTACATCTGAACCTCCAAAGTGCTCAAGGAAAAAGTGGAGATTCTTACCTCCAATCCCAAGTCCAAACTATTGTTCCAGAGAAGATTGTCCAAACAGTTCTTTGGATGTAATCGGGGGACAGAGGAAGTACTAATGCCTGTAATAAAGCAGGTCCCGTCCGTGCCTATACGGTTATAAATAAAGCCTTACATGTTTGTGCCTCATGTTCAGGTCACACTCCCTCTAAACACATCCTCTTCTCCCTCAAACACGTTAATGACCATAAGTGACTTATCCCCACACACAGGTCACTGACCACTGAGGGGATGAGAGCCACACATCCATAGTGATCTTCAATGCCATGGCAACCACTCCCATCCGACGCTGGCAACTATTACGTTCCAGTTCCGCACTGGCGCCGGAGTACATGAAATAATTGGTGTGTTATTGGTCTCCCGGGGGCTCGGGCATGTGTGGTGCGAGAGGTTCCTAATTGGATTTATTTGTTTTGATGTGTTTTATAGGCGATAAA